ACACACCACTACCCTCACCCTGCCCCTCTCTGGGCCACCCTCCCAAGAGCCCCAGACTTACCTTTCTCCAGAACAGCACCTCTGCTGGGGATCGGAGTACTCTCTACAGGTAGGAAGGGGGAGGTAGGGGCCACATGGGGGGGAGGCGGGGCAGCACTCTGGTTGGCCAAACTCAGGGGGGACACATGCCGCCCCCATGTCCCCCTTGTGTGTCACCTATGTGGCTTTGAGTTTGAGAATCAAACTTGTTTGGATACTTGAGTGGGCTAAGCATAGGTGTACAGCATACGCCACCTGTAGACCCTCATCCTTAGATGAAAAGATTGGCTTTTATGTTCACAGTGTTGTATAACAGGGAACTTTAGTTGTGTTATGGAGAGGAGAGGGCCAGGTGAGGGAGGGTCCCCTTAGGACTAGTAGCCTGAGGGACAGGGTTGGCTCTCTACAGAGGGGGAAGTACCAACAACCCAGCTAGTGGGGCCAAGACACTGATGGCCAGAAAAAAACATCAAGTGGTGAGCAGGGGCAGCTAGCTGGCTACAGAAACAAAACCAGGAAGGGAAGGCAGGAAATTGGTAGCACCTGGGCCAGGGAGGCAGGAAACCCGACCAGCTGATTGAGGAGGAGGGGTTAACTGGGATATAAACCCTTAAGGTAGAAGTAAAGGGGTTGGTTTTTGTAGCAGAGAAGGAAGGAGTCTTACAGGGAGACAAGGACAAATAGAAGCCTGATCAGATACACCATGGCCCAAGAGGAGGAACCTCTGATGATGGTAAAGGGGTGAGTGAGTACATGGGAGCCCCGAGAGACCCCCAGGTATGTAGTTTAAGCTATATGGGCTTCTTTCTCAAAAAGGCTCCGTAGAAGAGATATTGTACTTCAAGCCCTATGTGCACACTTACTGTTTATGATTTAGGTGGCTGATCGTTAGTTAAGAGCAGAATGCACACATGTATGCACACACACCATATTTTTTCAAATATATTTTGCATTTTCTTTCTTAAAACTAGCAGGTAAAAAATAGAGAATGTAATAGCATGTGAGAAAAATTGCCATGTCAATTAATTCTGCCACTAAGTTTCTGGCCCCCTGGATAGCCCCCAGTTAGATGATACCGTCTCGTGCATCAGATCAACCCCATGCACCAGCCTGGTCCACAGTCCAGCTGGACATACGGCCCTGGACTCAGCATATGGGTTCCAGCCCCGTACGTGGCTCCAGAGCCAGCCCATGACCCCAGACCAGGCACATGGAGACTGATCAGGCACAGTTCCAGAGCCCTGGAACCATCAGTCAGGGTTTGACCCAGCATGTGGGCCTGAAGTTAGCATGCGGGGTCTAACCCAGCATGAGGTTCCAGATCTGGTGCATCAGTTCTGAACCTGTATATGGCTTCAGACCCAATTTGTGGTCCCAGACTTGGTGTGCACAGTCTGACCAAGCATGTGGCCCTGCAGCCAGTGTGTGGCCCTGGACATTGCATGCGGGGTTGGTTTGTGAGCCCATCCAGCAGGCTTGGGAGCAGACTCTCCTCCCTAGCTGCTGCTACTCTGTTATCACTTATCAGCAAAAGACAACCCCTTTTTTCCTTTAAGCTGCCTTTCCAAAACTCTGTGGGCATGTGCCATCTACTTCTTTTGTGTGTGTATGTATGGACAACTCTCGAAGAGAGTTTTATCTGTAGTAACTGCTGCTTTGTGATGCATTGAGTATATAGGTTCTATTATTTGCATTCTTTGTCTGTAACTACAGAGTCCTTCTGTATGGGTAATAAATTGTGAGATGGTTGGTATTATGCCTTGAAGTTGAAGGCACAAAAGTAAAAGTGCATTCACAAGAGAAACTAGAGACCAGAAGAATCCAAAAGCAAGGACACCAAGAGTGCAATGTGTGGATAATGTGCCTTAAAGAAACAGTTGCTGAAAGAGTAATTAATTGTTTTTCTTCCAAAATTTATAAACAGCATCAACCCTTGCACCTCTATTCTTCAGTGTTATTGGCATGTTAGTAATACACTGCAGCAGGGGTTGGTAAGCTATACTCTGTGGGCTGGATCTGGCCTGTGGAGCTGGAGCCTTAGAGGCAGAGGTTTTGCCCACACCATGCCATAGCTAGACTCTTTCCTGTGCTGAAATACAGCTGGGCAGCAGGGACAAGAGGTAGTGGGGAGAAGCAGCAGTGGCCAGGTCCTAGCATCCAGTCTTCTCTGCACCCAAGCTGGGCTGTATCTGCCCATCCCTAAAAAGTGTTGCTGATGGCTGCACTACATAGTGTTAATACACAGCTCTAATTGGGATTACAGCATCTGGACAATTTATTCTTCACTTACAGGGATAGCATTTTGGGGAAAACATTTCTTCCTTCCTCCCTGTTTAATTTTCGTCATTTCTTTTTCTCTGAAGTTCTCTGACAAAGATATTGGAACCCAAACCTATTTCAAAGAAAACTTGGCAGTTCTGATAATTGTCAGAATATCTTCTGAATACAAAATAATGCAGCAGCTTTGTCAGCCTGAGAGGGTAGGCACAATACATGTGTAATATAATGTGTTGAGTGAATTGGAAATGTGAGATGAATGTGTAACAGAAGGGGAGCACCACTGGGGAGGCCTGCTGGCTGTGATTCTGGACTACAAATCCCAGAGGCTTCTGGAAGAAGGAAAAGGAAGTGATGAGCAATTCTGCTGTGATTCTGGACTGCAAATCCCAAAGATCTTGGAAGTAGGAAAGGGAAGTGACAACACAGTTCTGGGCTGTGCCAGGCATCTGGGGTTGGATGGAGAGAGGTAGAGCTGAGAATGAACGGAGGAGAGGGAAGCCTTTGCACAGCACAGATGATGAATTGCAAATTGATTGCATGTGACCCCCGACTTGGAGACCTGTACAGAGTGAATCTGGACTAAAGGCTGGTTCTTGGGGACACTTCCGGAGGTGGGGAGAAAAGAACTTTATGTGCTGAATGTGTGTATTCCAGTGGGACTAACCACTACCTGTGACTTGCCCTTTTAAGTGTATGTTGTTATATGGTGAATGTCTATTTACCTGTATTTGTCCCTCCCCCAAGGCCCATTGGGTTGTGACCTTTAATCCCTAGGGCTTCCTATATAAAAGTGAGGGAACCCCTTGTTGGCTGTGGCAACCGTGCCTAACACTGCAGTGTTTTGCTACATATGTATACTTCGGAGTATTTTTACTTTACTCCTGGTAAAAGTGGTGTGGATGTATGCCATACAGCCTTATGCCAGTGTAAATAATTCTGTTCTGGTGTAAATATTCCTTGGAACCGTGGTTCTCAAACAGGGTGCTGTGGCACCCTGGGATGCCTTGTGATGCTTCAAGGGTGCCACACAGCGTTAGCACTGTTAAGTGAGCCAACATGATTCACAAGATAAACCCAGAGGGTGCGTCCCCACAAGCAAAAACACATTTCTGCGTGGACAAGTAGCAGCAGCAGCACACCCTGCTACACGTGCTCTGACATGTGGTACGTTGCCTTGGGTGGGGTAAGGGAGGCTGGGTGCTGGCCCCAGCAGCCTTACCTGGGGTCTTGGGGGCTTTTGGGAGCTGCAGCAGCAGTGCTTCTGCAGCAAGGAGCTGGGCCAGCAGCTCAAGCTTGGTTCTGGCTGGCCAGGTTCTGGTTTTGGGCGAAGTTTTTTTTTTTTTTTTTTTTTTTTTTTTTTTTTTTTTTTTTTTTTTTTTTTTTTTTTTTTTTTTTTTTTTTTTTTTGTCCATCAGGCTGGATGGGCAGTGCTCCAAGCTGTCTGCAGGCCAGATCCAGCTGATAGTCTTGATTGGGCATGGGGCAGTCTTGACAGGGCCCCATCCAGTCACATGGAGAGGGACAGGGTACATCCTGGCTCCAACTGGGCCCCAGGGAGGCGGGGAAAGGGGTGGCCCAGCACCAGCCTGCTGTGCAGTGTTTAGGATTTGGGCATTTGGAAGTGGGAGAGGATGGCCATATTTATTGCCACTGGTCCTCCGGTGTCAAAGTTTCTGATCCAGAGGGAGTGCCACAGGCTGGATATTTATGGCTCTGTAGGGCATATTTTGCCTGCAGGCCAGAGGTTGAGCACCCCTGCTATAGCACATGCTCAACTGAACCCATTGTAGTTGAATGTGTGTAACACAGGAAAACCTTTTAATCTATTCAAAGCTTCCTTTTTAAAGAGACCAAGGGCCATGTACAATGATCTTAAGACCTGTGTGCTTTACAGGATATTGGACCTATATTATGCAACAGGTTCCCTGACTTCTGCCATATGTACAGAGTTCTGTGACAAGATTGTAACAATTGTTTAAAAAAAAAAAGTACTGGGTTTATTTGAAGTCTATTTCAATAAGTCTTAGTGGACTGGTTTTTCAAACTGTGTTCACCCCATTGTCTAGTGTTTGTTTAGCTTTTTTTGGCAATCTTTTATTAACTATTTTACTTTTCACAGACCACAGTGAAAATTAATGGATTTTAAAAAAAATCTAGCTATGTTTGAGAAGTTATGAGGGGAAAGCTAAAGGATGACTGTAGTTTTTTGGGGTATCTGAGTACCTAACAAGTTAGCCATGTGAAGGGTGGTGGTGGTGAAACCACAGTCCCTTACTACCAACGTGAAATTGAAGCACAAAATTTTACCTTGCTGAAGGTTACACAAAGTACAATAGCCTAGAGACTGAACTCAAATCTTCGTAAGGCTGCAAGATTTTCTCTTATATCTGATGAAAGTAAATCTGGCCACTAAGTTTATCAGATGCCTTTCCTCACTTCTTCTGTTGTAGCCCCACTCATTTTCTTCTGAGTGCTATTAATTATTTTAAATGGCCCTTCTGGTTCTGTCTCGCATTGGCACACATCTTCACTGATCCTTCCTGCTTCTTTACTTTCAAAGTAGTAGCGGCGTATGTCTTGCATTTCAGAGGGAAACCTGCTTATATGCAACACTTATTGTGGAAACTTCTGTTGAAGTGATTACTGAATTACACTTCCCTATTACCATTTTGGCCTAGTAACTTCTAAACTCATGTCCCTCCAAAATACGTTTGTATCAACAAACTGCAAGTAAATTGCAAGAATATAAGTCACTGGCAACTTGGGTTTTTAAAAAATATTACTTGCCAATCTCTTGAGAGATTCTTTGGGGCTAGTATGTTAGAGTACTCCATTTTCTGGTTAGACAGGGTGATATCCTTGACTTTTGTTGTTTACATTTTGCTATTTAACTATTTCCTATCCTTTCACTTTTTGTAAAGGCCTCCTTTTTAAGTACCCTTGTCAGTACTGAATATATCTGATAAGCTGATTGTGTTTGTTTGTTTTGTTTTTTTCCCATGTAATAAATGAATAGGATTGTAGTAAATGCAATGTTTGGGCAAGGAAGTATGGTGAAATTCATGTTCTGAAACTACTTAAGGAATGAGTAACTTGTTTCAGAGGTACCCTTCTTTGAAATTTTTGGGACTGTTAGGGGTTGTTCCCTGTAAGTTGAATGCCAGGTAAATCCAATGTTTTAAGTGTATACCACTGTTTCCAGGCCAATTTTTTCTAAACCCTGAAACTTCTTTTTCCTATTATTATTTGAATATTGCAGTATTGCTAGATGTCTTGCATTTTAAAAAATTAGCTCATCAGAAACATTAACCCTTTGACTGCTTTCTTTTCAGAGATGTGGTACTGGGTTTTCCTGTGGGCTCTCTTCTCTTCTCTCTTTGTCCATGGTGCTGTAGCAGTGTTAATGTTTGTGATGCTGCAGAGGCATAGGCAGGGGAGACTAATCTCTGTCATTGTGGTCAGCATTGGATTTCTGGGTTCTGTAACTGGAGCAATGATAACTAGTAAGTCTGTCTTGTTTTTTACTCTTTTGAATCTTTATTTTCTTTAAACAGTGTTTCTTATCTATGCTGGTCTTATCTAACCTCCATGAACAATTTTACCTTAATCATGTAATTTTTTTCTATGAGAGTATCAGCTGAGTTGGTCTTCCCATTATGTAAAGATAAAGGCAGTATTATAGGACTTTCAGAGAAGCAGACAACTCGACAAGATTTCTAAAGATTAGAGGTTTGAGGAGATCTCGAAGAGAGGGTATTATTCCAATGTTTTCTGGAACTAGAGTAGCTGCTCTCTGTTCCTCTGCTGTGGTGAGTGGTGTTGGCTATAGGGGAGGAACTGTGTTATTAGTCTCCAAGTACTTTCCTCTCCATTTGGCTTGCCAGACAGACTCTTGTTGGTCTGGTTCAGCTGTCGAGATTGCAGACTTGTATTGCATCATTGCTAAGGGCTGAGTTGGATGCTATCCAAGATAGCATCTAGTCGAACATTTTTATTAGCAGGTATTGTTGTACTTGCCACTCCTGGGAGGGTGCCTCTACACATCACCTTATGACAACGTAGAAATGCACTAATTTGTCGTATAGTATGCTATGGCAAACACATGGGTCTACCATTTATCAGCAGCTACATCCCCATAGTGGCGTGCTCCCCCAGTATAGTGTGCCACTATGGCGATGTAGCAATGAAATCTAACAGTGCATCACATGCGTGGTGCAATAACTACCTGTACAGTGCTATGCTTTAGTACTTCCAAAAGGAAGTATTTCCAAATTGGTAGTACCAAAAGGAAGTACTAAAGCACAGTGCCATAGCAACATTGCCGTAGGGCAATATGTAGATGCTCCTGGAGATTTGGAAGTTACATGAAAGTCTGTAGTAAATTACAGAAGATTGCATGGTCATGGAGTGGAGAAAACCTCTTAATTGCAACTGTAAGCCTCTCTCTCACTTGCTCACCTTCCCGGATTGCCAGGATAAAGAGCATTTGTGAAATCCCGGTATTGTAAACTCTGACAGTTTACAAGTTTTCTAATAGAATTTGTAATACTTGTAGAGAAAGTAAGAAATTGATTACAGAACAGGTGAACATCAGCACATGCATCTGTTTTAATCTTGCCATAATGGTCTTGTATCAGGAATTTAAACTTTTCTGTTGACAACTTTTGCCCACTGTATTTCTGCCTGTGGCAGCAGTGCTCCACCATGCTGAGATGTTTTAATATATATATATATATTGAACAGGGGAGGTGGATGTTTTGTTAGTGGGCTGACCTGATGGGAGTTCTCAAGGTGTATTTACAGGTCTCCTCCTCCCCTACATCCTGTCCCATCATTCACTGTCTTGGTTCTTTTAGGCAACAGGTTTCAACGCATAAGTTTTACCTGGGGTTTCCTTCTTTGCTGGTCTCTTCGAATCTTTGTCTCAAACAGGTAAAAATGTGAGTCTTTGCTCAGTTAAGTTCTAGATTAAATTATCTTAAATCACTTATCAATAGACTTGATCGTCTGACTCAGGTTTTACAGAGTCTCATTAATTAATGCAACACAACACCCGTTCAGTCAAGTCCTTCTTAATTAACTAGGTCTCCATAACTATATTCCATATTCTTCCCTAAACAGTTTCTAATTTTTATATAATTTAAATAAATCAGTCCAGACTTGCCATGAATTTGTCACTTATTCCTCCACCTTGTCCTGTTTCCATGAATCAATTTGGAGCCCAGCACGAGCTCACCTTCATTGCAGACTGGGATTACTTTACCTCTTGGTAGGTGGAGCCTTCTCCTTTGCCAGGCTGGGATGTGTCTAATTGGCAGCAGCCTCGGTATCAGCCCCTCACTCTTTCTGCAGTCAGTCTTTCCTCTCTGCTTTCCACTTCTCGTTCGTGCTTCTGCATGATACACAAGGTAGTGATTTCCC